TATATATATAGTAAGAAGTGGTTTTGGCTAGATTCGAGTCTTTCGGACTTGGATAATTGAGGGAAAGGCCTATTAGTGGATTGATTTAGCGTGATGTGAGGTAAGTGACTTGCCTAACCTTGTGTAGGTGAATTACGCCATAGGATTGGTTTTGTTTGTGCCAATTGTGATATGTGAAATCCGTGTACGCAAGGTGATGACTGTGTACACAGGCTAAATGTGGAAATTTCTTGTTTTAGCTATGATGATCCCTTCTTTACCTTAATAAAGTTGCCTTAACATGTTATAGTCATCATTTTTAGTCTAATTTCACATGTCTACTTTTATTATCTCTTACTTGCTAATTGATCTAAATGTTTAGTTGAAATTCTTCTTTCCTTTTTTCCGTATTAATTATTTAACTGTAGAATTCTTTACTTGAAATTGTTATTCTTGAAATATCTTGTTGTTGAAATCGGAATTGAGTTGCAAAGGCCGTGATTCCTGTTGAAGCAATGAGTTAAGTTGTGAAATATCATTCTATTGAGTTATTCTTTCGGTTGTTATTATTGAGACTTTGTGTACATTGTGCTTGAGCCGTCGGCTCCTTTTTGTGAAAATCTGTTATTGTTTAGTTTCTCTAGAAAGTTGTGATATTGGGCACTTGAGGTGTGATTTTTGATAAGTTGTGATATTCATACGCATGCGGTGATATAAGGTTTGGGGATTGAAACGCATGCAGTGAGGTAAGGTGGGCTTGATATGCGTGGCTAGTAGGGGAACTACTAGAAGCCATGCGGTGTGATAAGGAGGGTTAAAACGCGGGATGCTATTTCGGGAAAAATAATTTTCAAAACTAAATGTAAAGGCTCCCTCGGTGATATAAGGAAAGATTGTGAGTTATTTTTGTTATTTGGGACTACGAGGCGGTACCTCGGTAGTGACCCTTGTTGATCTTTCTCTATTTGATGTACATATCTTTGGTTTTTTGTTTCCTTAACATGTAAATCCTTGTTTCTTACGTGTTGTATTATCTGCCTTTATTTTGTGTAGTTAACTTTTTGGTATACTCCTTGTTTCATTTCCATTATCATTATTATTATATTGTTAAATTTTTCGTCCTGTTTCTTATCATTTTCAGTAGGGCCTTGACCTGACCTCGTCACTACTCTACCAAGGTTAGACTTGGCACTAGTAAGATGAGTTCGCATTTGTAGACTTCAAGGTACACCTGCCCGGGTCCGCAGGCCTCCGAGTCCCCTTCTATCCCTTTCTATATTTCTCCTTCTTTACTAGACGCAGTTGTATATGAATGATTTTTGTATTGTCATAGAGCTTATGACTTGTGTTACGCCGGGTTTTGGGCTATTGTATATACACTAAGCTCTGGAGATTTTTCCTTATATATGTTGTTGGGTTTTGAGAATTTCAAATTACCGTTTCAGTTACTTCCGCATGTTTGTTAGGCTTACCTAGTCATAGAGACTAGGTGCCCTCACAACATCCTACGGAGGAAAATTAGGGTCGTGACAAGATATATAGATTAGATTATCTAATATCTATTTAGATTATGTCCTATTCGTTCAACTACGTCCACTAATTATGTTCCCTTTATAATTCCTTATTGTTAATGTTGTCCTAAAATTGCCAAGTGGCTTTTTTTAGCTTGTCACTTGGCTTAACTTCAATGCACACTACCCTCCTATTAATATAATAGGGATAACTAAATTTTTTAGTTGTATTTTTTCTATTATAGTTTTTTTAATTAATTCCTTACCTTCATAGTTCTAGCTAATATAGAAGAAAATCTATGAGTAGATCAGTATATAGATATGTATAGATATAGATATAGATATAGATATAGATACATAGATTAGATTTGTCTAAAAAATATTTAGATTATGTCCTATTCATTCAATTACTTCCATTAATTATGTTCTCTTTATAATTCCTAATTACTAAAATTGCCAAGTGGCTTATTTTTAGATGGCCACTTGGCCTAACCACAATGCATATTACCCTTCTTTTATTATAATAGAGATATATAAATTTTAGTTTTATTTTATATTTTAACTTACTCCAAAGTATAAATAGTCACAGGTTATCTCAATTTATATCTCTCTAAAAAAATATTCTATTATAATTTATTTAATTAATTCTTTACCTCCATAGTTCTAGCTAATATAGAAGAACATTTCTGAGCGGATATATATATATATATATATATATATATATATATATATATATATATATATATATATATGTATAATATCTATAATGATTATGTCCTATTCATTCAACTACTTTCATTAATTATGTTCCCTAAATAATTCATAATTATTAATGTGGTCCTAAATTTATCCAGTGGCTTATTTTTAGCTTCACATTTGGGTTAACCACAATGCACACTACCCTCCTTTCAATACAATAGAGATAAATAAATTTTAGTTTTATTTTTTATTTTAACTTACTCCAAAGTATAAATTATCATAGGTTATCTCAATTTAGGCCTCTCTATATTTTTTTCTATTATTGTTTTTTTAAATTAATTCTTTACCACCACAGTTCTAGCTAATATAGAAGAAAATCTATGTGTGAATCTGTATATAGGCATGTATAGATATGGATATAGATATATAGATTACATTTATCTAAGATCTATTTAGATTATGCCGTATTCATTCAACTACTTCCATTAATTATGTTTTCTTAATATTTCCTAATTATTAATGTTGGTATAATGAACCGACCGGTCGTTTTGAGAATTAACGTTACGCTCTGTGGCTGGAGGTCTCGAGTAGCTTTCTGGTATTTATTATTAATTGCGTGTGTGGCGAATTCTATTTTTGGATGATTCGGGGATTGATTTGGAAGAATGATTCTTGTTTTAGAAGCTTAAGTAGCAAGAGTGGACCGGAGTTTGACTTATGTGTAGACGACTCCGAAATGGTGTTTTGATGATTCCAATAGCTTGGTATAGCGATTTAGGGCTTAGGTGTATACCGAACTTTGATTCTGAGGTTCGTAGGTTGATTTGTTGCATTTTGGTGAAAGTTGGAAAGCTGAAGGTTTGAAAGGTTGAGAGGTTTGACCGGGAGTTGACTTTCTTGATGTCACGTTCGGATTCCCATTCTGGCAGTTGGAATAGCTCCCATGTATCATTTGGGGTTTTCATGCAAAATTTGATGTCGTTCCTTGTTGATTTGATAAGATTCTACGCGAGTTGTAGAAGTTGAAAATTCATAGTTCATAAGCTTGAATTGAGGCGCAATTCATGGTTTGGATGTTATGTTTCGGGATTTAAGGCCTCGAGTAGGTTCGTGTAATGTTTTGGGACTTGTTGGTATGGTTTGATGGGGTCTCGAGGGGCTTGGGTGTGTTTTGGATCATTGGTTGAGAGACTAGTTAAGTTGAGAAATTTGGAGTTTGACCGTGGTCAATATTGGGTCAAGAGCGTGTTTTATTATTGAAATTCATATATGATTTGTGTCTGGGAGGTTCTGGATAAGTTTCAGGGTGGTTACAGATCATTTCGATGAAGTTTGCGATTGTTAGGGCTGGTACTTCGCAATTGCGAACTTTTTGTTGCAATTGCGAGCTACTGCAATTGTAAAATTTGGGTTGCACTTGCGAACCTTTGTCGCAATTGCGAACATGTGGTCGGAATTGCGAACATCCGTAATTGCGAACTTTTGGTCACAAATGTGATATCTGCAACTGGGTTAAGAGTTTAAATTTCGGGATTTTAGCTCATTCTTTCATTTTTTGAACCCTAGACTAGATAAGAGGCGATTTGGAGAGGGGATTTTCATCTACAATCATTGGGTAAGTGATGAAAATGAAGAGTCTATGTTAAATTTTATTAATTTTTGCCAAGATAATATTTTATAGCTCAAGTCCAAGCATATAGACTTATTTTCAAGAAGCGCAAGAAGTTCAAGAAGCTCAAGATTGATTTCAAATATCTAAGATTAATTCTTTCCTTCTTACATCTTTCAATAAATAGTCATAGGTTATCTCAATTTACGTCTTTCTATATTTTGTTTTTTCTATCATAGTTTTTTTTACCTAATTCTTTACCTCCATAGTTCTAGCTAATATAGAAGAAAATCTATGAGCGGATCATTATATAGATATGTATAGATATAGATATAGTCATATAGAATATATTTGTCTAAGATTAATTTGGATTATTTCCTATTCATTCAACTACTTCCATTAAATATGTTCCCTTTCTAATTCCTAGTTATTAATGTTGCCCTAAAATTGCCAAGTGGCTTCTTTTTAGCTTGCCACTTGGCTTAACAACAATGCATACTGCCCTCCTTTTAATACAATATAGAGATAGATATAGATAAGAGATCGATCACGTTAACTTTCATAAATTGTTAGAACTTTATAATTAATTATAGAAACTCTATTTCCTTTTGTCATTATTATGCTAGAAAGCAATAAATTAAAATCCTTCAAGTTTTCATGTTTAAACACATAATTAACGTCTGAAAGCCTAAACTTAATGCTAATAAGAAAAATTTTGATAAAGTAAATTTTTTTGATTTCAAAGTCTTAAATATAAGAAATATTACTAAATGATGATGTTGTCCCGAGGTAAATTAAGTTTTAAGGGGTAAAAAAATAAAATTTTGCTAAGGACCTTCGCGCTTTAAATAAAACTAGTCTCAGAGTATGCGCGTTGCGCCTATACTAATAATAAGAAGTATATTTTTTTTTAAAAATTACACAAACATCAATTAAAACAACATATAGATCAACGATATGACCAATAACTCCTATAGTGCGAATTCTCTTTTATTAAATTTGTAGTTGAGTTAAGGAGTATAAAATTTTAAAATTACATAAGTATAAGTTTGAGTTTGAGTTTGCTCACCGATAAATTCAGTACACCAAAAAGTTAGGTATTCTTTTATGGATTTTTTTATGCCACCAACAACTCCACTTGGATTTCCTTTAAAAGCCGTCTAAGACATACTAGGGATTATCACAAAATTCAGTGTATTTCCAAAACTAGAAACTATGGATGTTAAAGTTCTTTCCAAGGAAAAAATCAAACCCTCTACACCAACTCCCCAGCACCTGAGGAACTACATAATCTCCTTCATAGACCAGTTTTGTCCATCTTCCTACATCCCGGTCATTCTCTTTTACAATAATGCCAACGTTGTTGATGACCACTTGAATAAAGAAAAAACCTTGGCTTCACATCTCCTTAAGAAATCTCTTGCAGAAACCCTAAGTTATTACTTTCCTCTTGCTGGTAGATTAAAAGACTTAAACTCCGTTGAGTGCAATGACGATGGAGTTGTATAGATGGAAGCTCAAGCAAACTTCCATCTCTCTATGTTTCTTGAAAATCTTGAAATTCCGTTCCTTAACAAGTTCCTTCCATGCAAAGGAAATTGCCTAGAACAGAGTTGTCAATCTCTCCTTACTGTACAAACCACCACATTTGAATGCGGTGGAAGAGCCATTGGAGTTTGCATGCTTCACAAGGTTGACTTTTGCCTAGTTTAATTTGTACTACTCCCACCGTATCAATTTATGTGGCACACTTTTCTTATTAATTTGTTTCAAAAAAAACGACACATTCAAACTTTCCATCTAACTCATTTACTCTCGATGAGAAGTTTTTATAGTCGCACAAATTGAAAGCTCCACAAAAGCTTTTACCCTTTAAACTTCTAAGACCCCAAGTTTCAAAAGTTTATTTTAAATTTCGTGCCAAGTCAAACTACGTCACATAATGAAACAGAGGGAGTAATATAAACGAAGATTGAAGTGGGTTTGTCTCGTATCGAAAGTCAAAAATGACTCAGAACTTTTAGTTTTTATTAAATTTAGGTTTTTAATTTAAACGAACATGTTTGGTCATGACAAAAATGAACGTTAAGAATAGCCTTCTTTTCACTCAATAAATTTCTCTAACTTTTTTTTAATCTGAATTTCTACTAACAGGTTGTGGATGCATCTACGATGAGTGCTTTCTTGAAAACATGGGTCAAGCTTACCCAGGGTGAAGGTGATAAAATACTAGATCCAGACTTCACCTCAGAAATCTCTCTATTCCCTCCAATAGATTCATTACCAACTAAGTTCATAAGGAATTTGGAGAACTTCTATTTCCAAGGCTCAAAATCGCCAATGAGAAGGTTCTTGTTCGACTCCAAAGCCATAAAAGCACTCAAAGCTAATACATCTAGCCAATATGTTCCTTTTCCATCTACGATTGAAGCATTGACGGCTTTTCTTTGCAAACGGATTGCAGCAGCCTCTAAATTCCTTACGGATGCACCAAAGACTTTAGCGATCACACATGTTGCAAATTTAAGGCCTCGCGTTGATCCACCTTTGCCGCAAAACTCTTTTGGAAACCTTCTATGGATACCATTTGCCTTTTATGACCCTTTAGATGCTAGCATGGAGTTGCCTAATTTGGCAATAATGCTAAGGGAGGTGTTTGCCCGATTAACTGCGGAGAACATTAAAGGTACTTTTGAATTGCGTAATCATTTCATCTGAAAATGTAATTTTTTTCATAGAAAGAGCATATTTTTATTTATTTAATTCATTTAGTTATATATATATCATTTATCTACTTAATTATGTCTTCAACAGATATAGACAGCGAGTCTACAATCACGTTCCTAAACGAGTTGTTTAGTGTGTCAACAAATGAGAAGATAAAGATTTTCAGATTCACAAGCTGGTGCAACATGGGAATATATGATATTAATTATGGTTGGGGAAAGCCTGTTTGGGTTGCTCATATGGGGGATTTGGATGCTGCTAATATTCGATCCAAACATCAATTTGTCTTTTTAGAAAGTGCATGCAAAGAGGGGATAAAGTTGTGGATTGCATCTGATGATGAAGAGATAAGGGTTGTGGAAAAGGATCCAGAGTTTCTCACATATGCCAAGCCAAATCCAAGTATTTGCATGAACTAAATAAATGGCTCATTTGGAGAAAGGTCCAAAGAATTTATCAACTTTCTACAAATATGTCCTGGAAGTGAGAGAGAAGTGTTATGCATCTTACTAAATTTGGCTGACATAAATGTTCTCTCTCCATTGTATGTTTTCTTGCATTTTTCATTATCTATTATGTGCTTAATTTTCCAATAATATACTGCGGTATTTCAAACATGAAGTAAGCATTTTCATTTAACCAGGCCCCAATCCTTGTTTTAGTATTGTTGCTGGTATCTTTACTTATTAGCAGCTTCCTATTAAATACCTATAATTGTATACGGTCAAAACCGATCTTCCCTTTTTTGTATTATTTATCGAGACCGGGACGTGGTAGGCCAAGGTTCAACCCCATGTCATACCGGACCGTGATGCGAAATTAGATTGATGTAACGACCCGATAGTCGTTTCATGAGTTACAACCCCATTTCAGCCATTTCTGCTTCCTTGTGTGTTGTTCAGCTGTATTTGATCATATCGTGTTGGTTGTGTTATATTCGGTGTTGTCTTAGAGTGGAATGAGACACTTAGTCTCTTATTTAGAAGCTTAGATTGGAAAAGTCAACCGGATATTGACTTATGAGTAGAAGGTCTTAGATGTGAATTCTGATGGTTCATATAGCTTCGTTAGGTGATTTTAGAGTTTGGAGTATGTTCGGAATGTAATTTGAAGGTCCGTGGTAGATTTAGGCTTGAATTGGCGAAATTAGAAATTTGGAGCTTTCCGGTAGGCAGTGGAAATCTTGATATTGGGGTCGGAATGGAATTCTGGAAATTGTAGTCGGTCCATTGTATCATCTATGACGTGTGTGAAAAATTTCAGGTCATTTGGATGAGGTTTGATAGGTTTTGCATCGTTTGCGGGAATTCGGATATTTGGAAATCCTTAGGCGTGATCCGAGGGTGATTTGGTGTTTCTATGTTGTTTTGAGTGTACCAAAGGTTGGAATATGTTTAAATAGTGGTATATGACTTGTTGGTATTTTTGGTTGGGGTCCTGAGGGCCTCGGGATGAATTCGGATGGTTAACAGAAATATTGGACTTGGTATGAGCTGCTGAAGCTGCTGCTTTTGTCATAACCGCACCTGCAGATTGGGGATAGCAGGTGCGAGGTAGCAGGTGCGTAAGGGAGTCCACAGATGCGGAGGGTTGGAAGCTGAGGCAAATCCGCAGGTGCGCACAAAGGACCGCACCTGCGAGACAGCAGATGCGGGTGATGACCGCAGAAGCGGGATTTTAAGAGTTATGTGAAAACCGCACCTGTGATGTATTTCTGCAGGTGCGGCATCGCAGAATTGACTTGGAGACCGTAGATGTGGAAATCGCTAGGCAGAAACTATAAAAGCCTCACTTTGCGAATTTATGCCATTTTCTTCACCGTTTTTGGACGAGTTGGAGCTTAGGGACTGTGATTTCAAGGGGGAATTAAGTGTTTCCAGTAAGGTAAGCTACTTGGACCTTGTATCTTGTGTTTATGGCGACTATTCCACTGTTTAGTCATGTTATTAGGTGGAAAACTAGGGAAGAAATTTGGAGATTAGGGCTTGGCATTAGAGTGTTTAAATTGGGGATTTTAGGAGCCACTTGAGGTCCGATTTTGATGATTTTGGTATGTATAGACTCGTGAGAGGATAAGGATTCTAGTGTTGTAATTTTTATCGCATTTCAAGACGTTGGGCCGAGGGCCGGATTTGAGTAAAATCGGAATTTTGAGTAATTTTTGCCGGGCTTTGTTCCTTTGGCATGTATTGATGTTATGATTCTGATTTTAGATAGATTCGGGGTGATTTGAGGCCGAGTCGAGAGGCAAGGGCATTGCGGATTAGATTTTTGTTCGGTTCGAGGTAAGTAACGATTGTAAATCTAGACTTGAGGGTATGAAACCCCGGAATTTCATACTATTTTGATAAATGAGGTGACGCACATGCTAGGTGACGGGCGTGTGGGCGTGCACCCATAGGGATTGTGACTTGGTCTTGTTACGCCCCGAAATACTACGTCGATATTTCGTCCCGCAGTATTATATTACGATGATGTTACGCCTTGCAGTACTATATTACGATGATGTTACGCTTCGCAGTATTAAATTACGATGATGTTGCACCCTGTACTATTGTATGCTGAATTTGACGTAGGGTAATTGACATCAGTCAAAGGAAAAGATTATTTGGAGATTGTAAGGATGATATTTTAAACAAGTAATGAGTAAATTCGTGAAGGTGAGAGGGGAAGCAAGTCAAAGAAAATAAATTTTCGTCCAACTTTGGCACGTTGGGATAAAATATGGGTCAAGCGTTAATACCCGATATTTATGGACTAGTACCGTACAAAGTACCATATGACCGTGATAGTAAGACCTATAAAGTGTATTCAAAATAAGTAGAATTTTAGGTAATTAGAGATAATTCTTTATTATGCGGGTAATTGATTAATTATCGGGTAGTGGGATAATACCTGATTAATTATTAATTATAGGATCAAGATTAAATATTCCCCCATCCACCTCCACGTGGCAGCATATGCGATAGAAAGTGATGACTCTTTCAAATTGAATGAAAGAGGTGGCATATCTAATTAATACTACATGGCTTAGTCACTTGGATTAGGTGGGATATACCTACAAATCATTACATTTCCAAGACTATAATATCAAAAACATTTCTACAATCAGAAGGAGAGGATGAGACGTTAGCTCTCTCCTAGCCTTTCAACAAAATTCCATTTTCAAACATTTCCAATGAAGGTGAGACGTAAGCCCTCTCCTAGCCATTAAACAAAATTTCATTTCCAAACATTCCCAAACAGAGTGAGACGTTAGCCATTCTCCTAGCCTTCCAACAAATTTAATTTTCAAACATTTCAATCAGAGTGAGGTGTTAGCAGTATTCTTCTTGCAAAAGAAAATCCAACGAGAATTTTTAGAGTCTTAGCAACCTAATAATTTTGCGGTTTTAAAGGAGTACGGTGCAATATTTTTTCATAATATCACAGATTTTTCTCTACTCCAGGTATGATAAGGCTAAGATCTTCCTTCATTTTCGCATGATCTCGTCATTAAACAAGTTTGATAACGAGGCATAAAGAAAATTCATATCCTGAAATTTACGTATATTTTCCTAGATTTGTAAGTTAAAGTATTTTCCCTTATCGGGACTTCATATTAAATTAAGTATTGTCTTATTCCAGTCAAGAGAGCAGAAAATATATATATATATATATATACTGTTATATATATAGTATTACAGTATTTTCACTACCATCAAGCTATAATCGATGGGCAGGCCCCTATCCCGCAACCACTGATCAAATGGTAAGTTATATACCAATCCTACTGTGGCCGAGCGCCTATGAGCAAGCCCTGTTGGTCGAGATACAGAGACTAGTATAGCCGAGCGCCTATGAGCGAGCCTACTACGACAGAGTAGTTGTATATATACCGAGCTTTATAGGGCCGGACAACTATTTTACTTACTATATTGAGAGAGTTGAGTCAGTATCAGCAGGTAAGCATATCTTCAGATTATCTTTGACTTCCAGCTACTTGCAGTTATTATATTATCAGTTCAGTTTCAGCTTTCAGTATATTGCCTTACATACTCGGTACATTATTTTGTACTGACGTCCCTTTTCTGGGGGCGCTGCATTTCATGCGTGCAGGTTGTATACAGCGAAATCGGAGGGTCCAATTTCTCGTCATTAAGACACTTCGGAAGATCACCTCGAAGGCTCGCGGCCATGGTCGAGCATCCTTCCTCGAGGGTCGTCGACACTCGACCCCATGGTAGCATTGATCACGATAGTGGTAGAAGTGGGAGGTCCCCGAGGCACACGCCTAGGGCTGACAAAGTCTGCTGGTCTATTCCGAATCCGAGTCAAGGTGTCATTCAGTTGTCCTATCTCCATGTATTTGTACTTAATGCATTTTGTATTATGTTGGGATTCCTCTCCTATATTAAGGGGATCCTTGTCATCTTTGTACTCTCTGTTGCTCCAGCTGCTCCACACGAATATACAAAAAAGAACATTCTCTCTGCTCTCTAACATACTTTCTTGTTATTATTGCTTTCATTTATTATATTCATCCTTGTTAATCATTTATTGCTTATCGTTGGCCATAAAGAGCCTTCTTTGATTTTATTATAACTATTAGTTACACCCCGATCGCCCCTGATAGCTCATTATCGGGCCACGGAACCGACCGCGAGGCCTCCGTATCGACAAGCTTGAGGCCCCAATTGTTAGCCTCTCGGTTTGGTTACGCCTTATCTTTAGATCCTATTTCATCTCTAAACTTCATACACATAGCATCATCTGCTTAATAACTACGATAAAAATAGATCACGTATTTTTAGAGTCCCATCAATAAATTTAATTGTTATTTCCATTTTCACGGCAAACAGTTTGGCGCCCACCATGGGGATAAAAATAATAGTGATTATTTTCTTGCTGGTTTCATTACACAACACAAGTTATCTTTCACGTTTTATTTGTCCAAAGATCATTGATTTCGGGTCGTAATGTCTGATTCAGTGAACAATAATATTGAGAACCACGGAGAGAAGGGTGTGGCTGTTCCAGGTGTTGGTGAACCGCCACAAAACCTTGAGAACGCACAAGGACCGATTTCGGTGGATGAAGTCTCATGCGACGCTCGACACGTTGAAATAAGATCCCACACTAACAAGAGCATACACCAAGGCGACCAACAGGAAGCCCAAAACACCCCAGCTCGGGAAGAACAGGAAGTTAGCCTTCATGTTATTTTTGAAATGTTGCAGGCACAACAGCTGGCTATTAGTCAGCTGCAAAGTCACCAGAAAACTCCTAGAACGGTAGCACGGGGGACAGCTCCCCCAGTCGAACAGGTACCGGAGAGATCAAGCAATAATGGGTTGATAGCCGATCCCGTCATCGTATAAATGCTCGAGGACCTCACTAGAAGGATCGAATCGGGCGAGAAAATGATAGAAGCCAATGATAAGAAGGTCGACACTTACAACTCCAAGGTCGACCAATGTCCAGGAGCACCCCCGATCTTGAAGGGCGTAGACTCAAAGAAGTTCGTGCAGAAGGCATTCCCACAGGAAGCGGCCCCGAAACCCATTCCAAAGAAGTTCAGAATGCCGGAGCTTCCGAAATACAACGGTACCTCGAACCCCAATGAACACGTTACCGC